CATTCTGATCAAAGATAGTTTCCAAGAAAAGAAGAATCAAAATTTAAAGGCAATTCTAGCTATTAATGGCGTCCCCTTTCCGTCAGCAAGTGAAATTAAAATGAACGAATTTCTCTTCAGGAAGTAATAACGGTTGGCAAGGCGTCATTTCATAATAATAGAATTCAGGCTAATAGCCTATTATAATTGTGCGTTTTCCTCCTTTTAATATTTATCACGACCGTCACGTCCTGTGAATACCTTACCAATAATGGACTATTCCGTTTTGATCACGTGGAAAGAGGGAACAAACACTATTGGGTTTCAGCGAGAAAAACAAAGGAAGAAGAGTTTAACGTCTCTTGTCAATACCTCATAAATAATGGACTATTCCGTTTTAACCGCGTGGAATAAAAGAAAGAAAGAAAGAAAGAAAGAAAGAAAGAAAGAAAGAAAGAAAGAAAGAAAGTTTAGCGCCTCTTGTCACTACCTCATGAATAATGGATTATTCCGTTTTAACCGCGTGGAAAGAGAGGATTAAACACGGCGTGGTTTCAGTGAAAGAAAGAAAGAAAGAAAGAAAGAAAGAAAGAAAGAAAGAAAGAAAGAATGAATGAATGAAGTGTTCAAAGTTTCTTTCCAGTACCTCATATATAATGGACTATCCCGTTTTGATCGCTTGGAAAGAGAGGATTAAACACTACTTGGTTTTAGTGAGAAAAAGAAAGAACGAACGAAAGAAAGAATAAAAGAAAGAAAGAAAGAAAAAAGAAAGAAAGAAAGGAAGGAAGGAAGGAAGGAAAAAAGATAGACGTATTTAACGGTTGTTTCAGTAAAATAGAAAAAGTTATCAATTTCAAATCTTTTCATTTGTATCCCCTTACTTCTTAAAATAATGACCAGCATTCATATTTATGATTGTTATTGCAATATTTTGTTAAAGTTGTTGACCTCAAATATTTACCGATGCGATAAGGGAATTTCTTCGGATATTTTATGGTCGTGGAACTCGCCATTAGCTTATTCAATCATAAACTTCAGAATTAAGATTTTTAATAATATTAAAATAAGAAAACGATGACATTTTCATGGATTAAAACTAGTTACGACTAATCCTGCAAGTATAAATGAAGCAACTGAAATTAAGAAGAAAGAAATTGTATTCTTAATGTCATCTACTTTCAATAAACAAGTGTAGAATAATAATACTGAATCAACTGCTACGCCTACTGCAATGAAGATTGGTTCACTGTGCCGTGCCATAAGTTTTTCTCGTCAGAATCCATTTTGCACATTTATAAACCTACCATTTGTACATGCATTAAATATAGCTGCCATATCTGGTCTGGTGCTCCTTCTGTATATCTCTAGATTTCTCACAAAATTGAAAGAAGGGCCTGCAAAGTTATCGAACGCGACCCAACATCAAGGTTTCAAACAATTTTCTATAAATATTTTGATGGCAACTGCATGAATTTAAGCGTCCTACTGGATTGGCAATTAGGTCTCACCGTTTTACTGTTAAACTACCTAGATGCAACCGTTTCTTCTATTCTAAAAATGTATTCTCTCTCAATTCTCGCCTGTGAAACTTCCTTCCAACAATTTCTTGCATCCTGTCACCTACAATCTTCGAAAATGTAAATGCAATGTCAATCGCCATCTTCTGTCTTCCTGAACTCCGTTCTTTTATTGTCCTTTCATCACTTCTCCTCGTCTTCTCATTGTCTTTTTCTGTCTGTTATCCATGCGTACTAATAGCATTAGAACCTTGCTTGGGTGAAATTATTTTTAAAAATAACAGGAAAGAAATACTATTTAAAAATTAATAATGGCTGACAATGTTTCATCTAATAAGAGTAAAATCTAAGGTAACATATTAAAATTCTGCTTGTTCTGTAGTTCATTACTTAGCACGGACGTTACGCCGTAATATTGCCTCAGATAAACAATGGACCATCCCTGATTGATTGCAAGGGTAGAGGCAATAGATAAAAGAGAAGATCAAAGACGCTGTTCGGTTTTAAGGAAAAGAAACAAAAGAAAGAAATAATAAATGAAAGAAAGAAAGAAAGACTGAATGAAAGAATGAATGAATGAATGAATAAAAGAGTGAATGAGACTAAGAATGAATGAATGAAAGAAAGAAAGAATTAGACTAAGAATGAATAAAAGAGAGAAAGAAAGAATAAATGAAATAAAAAACGAATAAATGAAAGAAAGAATGAAAGAATGAATGAATGAAAGAAAGGATGAATGAAAGAAAGAAAGACTGAATGAATAGATGAAAGGCTGAATGAATGAATGAATGAATGAAAGAATGAATGAATAAAAGAATGAATGAATGAATAAATGAATGGATAAAAGAATGAATGAATGAAAGAATGAATGAATGAATAAAAGAATGAATGAATGAAAGAATGAATGAATGAAAGAATGAATGAAGGAATGAATGAAAGAATGAATGAATGAATAAAAGAGTGAATGAGACTAAGAATGAATGAATGAAAGAAAGAAAGAATTAGACTAAGAATGAATAAAAGAAAGAAAGAAAGAATAAATGAAATAAAAAACGAATAAATGAAAGAAAGAATGAAAGAATGAATGAAAGAAAGGATGAATGATAGAAAGAAAGACTGAATGAATAGATGAAAGGCTGAATGAATGAATGAATGAATGAAAGAATGAATGAATAAAAGAATGAATGAATGAATAAATGAATGAATAAAAGAATGAATGAATGAATGAAAGAATGAATGAATGAATAAAAGAATGAATGAATGAAAGAATGAATGAATGAAAGAATGAATGAAGGAATGAATGAAAGAATGAATGAATGAATGAAAGAATGAATGAATAAAAGAATGAATGAAAGAATGAATGAATGAAAGAATGAATGAATAAAAGAATGAATGAATGAAAGAATGAATGAATGAATGAAAGAATGAATGAATAAAAGAATGAATGAATGAATGAATGAATGAATGAATGAATGAATAAAAGAATGATTGAATGACAGAAATACAGAAAGAAAGAATGAATGAAATAAAACATGAATAAATGAAAGAAAGAAAGAAAGAAAGGCTGAATGAAAAAGTGAATGAATGAAAGAAAGAATCAATAAACGAATAAAAGAAAGAGTCAATGAATGAATGAATAAATGAAAGAAAGAAAGAAAGGATGAATGAATGAATGAATGAAAGAAAGAAAGAAAGGATGAATGAATGAATGAAGGAAAGAACGGATGAATGAACGAATAAATAAAAAATGAATGAAGGAAAGAATTAAAGAATGAATAAAAGAAAGAAAGAATGAATGAATGAAATAAAACATGAATAAATGAAAGAAAGAAAGAAAGAAAGGATGAATGAATGAAAAAGTGAATGAAAGAAAGAAAGAATGAATGAAAGAAAGAATCAATGAACGAATAAAAGAAAGAGTCAATGAATGAATGAAAAAATGAAAGAAAGAATGAATGAAAGAAAGAACGGATGAATGAATGAATGAAGGAAAGAACGGATGAATGAACGAATAAAAAAAAGAATGAATGAAGGAAAGAATTAAAGAATAAATAAAAGAAAGAAAGAATGAATAAATGAAAGAAAGAAAGAAAGAAAGAAAGAAAGAAGGAAAGAATGAATATGTTGTAACCTAGAAAGGGTTACTGAATGAGAAATAACCAAAATGGAGGTTGGAAATGAAATGGTAATCTTTATAACATCAACAAAATACAATACTCGCCAGCGACGTGAAGTAGGTAAACCACTGCTATCGGTGGACTACTTAGACACCATATTACTCCCACTTATAAGGGTGTCCAACGTATTCATGAGGATTGGGGCATGCGCATTAGTGTTCATAGGTACAGTATATAATCATGCTCGCTGATGGAAACTCAGTCGTGTGGTGAGAAAAACACACTCAATACATTTTCCTTTCAAGCACTGCTGTAGACAACGGAAGTGAGTGAGAACGTTGTAACTTAGTGTGCATGCGCGACATAATTCAAGGTTAATCTGTGCCAAGCTGCCTCGTTCTGGGTATTTAGCTCCGTTACTATAGCAACAGACCTGAGTTTTTTTTTTAATTAGACCTTACAATGTATTGTCAAAGTTGTTAAGCTCGCGTATTTAACGATGAAATTGGAAAATTTTCAAAGGCAGTTTGTTGTCGTGGGACTTTCAGGGAGTTTAGTCATTCATTAATTTAAGAATTAAGATTCATCAGAAAATTCCAGTTGGAAAAACGGTGAAATATTTTCGCGTAGTTACGCTAGAAACCTTCGGGCGCTCAAACCTTCAGTAACGATGACTTGTGACTTAATTGCTATATATATATATATATATATATATATATATATATATATATATATATATATATATATATGCATTTCATTGAAAACGACAGACAAAAGGTGCTTTTATTTAGTTTTTTTTTATACAATTTCTCATGCGATCTAATAATTTTTTTTTTTCAGATGATAAATTATATAAAAACTGTCCGAATGTTCTTTTTATCCGAGCGCTTTCGGCTATACATTTAGCCATTTTCAAGGATTATATTTTAAGTTTTAAAATAAGAAATAGTTTGTTGTATGTACATTTTATAAATTGTTTTCATTTTTTTTTTGTTTCAAAACACGGTCAAGATAGTATGTCCATGTTCAAAGCGTTTGTTTGTTTCTATTTATAAGCCTTATTGATAAAAACAAACAAACCAACATTTAATAATATTAACTTTGAACAATGGACATAATAACTTGACCGTGTTTTAAACAAAAAAATTAAGACATTTTATGAAACATACATACAACAAACTATTTCTTATTTTAATAGTTAAAAAATAATCCTTGAAAATGGCTAAATGTATAGCCGAAAGCGTTCGAATAAAAAGAACATTCGGACAGTTTTTATATAATTTATCATCCGAAAAGAAAAAAAATTATGAGATCGCATGAGAAATTGTATAAAAAACTAAATAAAAGCACGTTGTCTGTCGTTTTCAATGTAATGTAATGAAAGAAGGATTGCTGCCTAAATACACACACACACACACACACACACACACACACATATATATATATATATATATATATATATATATATATATATATATATATATATATATATATTTTAAAAAGAAGATAAACCGGTTTTGGTTGAAATGTGGATTTTTTATTTTAAAATGTAATTACAAAATATATTGACTGATTCGTTTTTTACGGCTTATCAACACTTTGGAGGTTATTTAAAGCCAGAAAATATTTCTAGATTCTAATTTTTTAACCCATAGCTGAGGGGAGAAGAGGTGGATTCATACCTTTCCCAGGGGTCTTTGCACCTAAGTTAATATAACGAACCCATCGGCTCTTTGTTTAACAGTTCCGAAGCATTATCCATTATATATATATATATATTATTTCTCTCAGTCAGTCATTAGCTGTTCGTAAAGTGAGGTGGCATTTTTATTAAAGATTTTTTATGATTTCTTGTGTTGTTTTTTTATGTTGTGTTGGTTAGTGATATGTGATCTAATTGAGCTATTATCAAATGAATGAAACGTTAATATATAATTTAAAATTTACAAGGCAATATCTCAGTTACCAACAAGGAGATCGTATTTTGACTCAAGCCGGTTTTTGATCACTTTGCATAAGTGACGTCGGGAAAGGAAATCCTTTCATGCCTTTCTCGTCTCCACCTGATTAATGTCTTATCACGATGTGAATAAGAGATTCTGTGCGTGCTTATTTGGTTAAGTCCCGGTGTTAGCGAGTGTATGCTTGTTTGCAGACCCCAGTGTATATATACTGGGTGTGCGTGAGATGTTATATTGACTGTGCGCGTTCTTTTCCCGCGTCCTGCTGTAGACGTTCACTGTCTCGACACCTTGGTTTGCCTTTGAATCAATAATCACCTCCTCCTAAACCTTTCTTCTACTCCACCTCGATAACGCCTCAATAGGCACGCGCACCGCTCTTGCTAATAACGGCTACTGAACTCGGTGAAAATCAGGAAAGGGGAGACGTTGATGTCGACACGATTCTCGTCATTAACTGGCAGTGTGGAAGAAGCAGCCACGTGATGAACTAACGAAGGCGTCGATCAGTGTTGAAGCAAATGGGATCGCTTCCGTGGAAACATATCATCGATCAGACCTTCCTGAAAAAATCCTTTTTTTTTTTTTTTTTTTTTTACACGTGATTTCTCCCTCTTTTTCTTTTTCTTTTTCTCGAATCTTTCTCTCTCTCTCTTTTTTTTTTTACACGTGATTTCTCCCCTTTTTTTTTTTCTCGAATCTTTCTCTCTCTCTTTTTTTTACACCTGATTTCTCCCTCTTTCTTTTTTTTTTCTCGAATCTTTCTCTCTCTCTTTTTTTTTTACACGTGATTTCTCCCTCTTTTCTTTTTCTTTTTCTATATATATATATATAATTATTTATTTAAAAAGATGATTCCAACACGCTACATAAGAGTTCTCATGTTTCAAAACAAGAGCCGAAAACTTCAATATAATTATTTGAATTAAATTGAATTAAAGTACTAAGCTCTGTTCAAGAAAATACTTATGTGACGTAAAAATATCACTGGGCTCAGTTGAATTTTCTGACTATCTGCAAGATTTCTAAAACACAAGCTTTCCTAACCCAATTCGCGACACAAGAAGTGGCACACGCATGACGTTTCTTCTTCAATTGATATCAAACTTCTTCAGAAATCTTTACCTTTTTTTCACAGTTAAATTAATCATCGGAATATTGACGAACATGGCGCCTATCAGGGCAAGAACGGTGCGATTTCGTTAACGACACTGGATAAAGAATGCGCTATTTACAATAAATACAAATGTAGAAGGGTGTATATTTCTAACTGTTGTTCTCTTCTTTTTTGTCATATTCACCCTCTGGACTTCAAGAGTGATTGTAATTTCGAACCGAACCCTTTATTTCTTCCACCGAGATAGATTCTAATTCCAGATCTTCTAGAACATTTTCTCCGTGAAACAGAAATTTGTAAAAAAGCAAATACTTGACTTTTTTTAAAATCATTTCAACCCAAGCAAGACAATAAAGCCACTAACACGCAAAGGGTTACTGAGAGTTAGAGAATATGAAAAAATTCTATTAAAGAGAGAGGACAGTAAAAAGAGAAGAATTAAGAAGACAGAAGATAACGATTGACATCGCATTTAAATTTTTAAAGACCAAAATTTACTGGGAAGCAAGAAGCTGGAATATAGTTCCACAAACGTGAAGTACGAAGAAAGAAACTTCTCGACTTTTCTATTGTAAAATGATAAAACCTTGCGGCCAATCTGGTACTGCGTTTACATTCACAAAGTCTCGGTACCACAGGAGAAAGTTCATTAGGACAATTACCATGAAATTATTTATAGAAAAGACACAGGGTGGCTATGTTACACAGAAGACTGAGACCGATGGCTCTAGACCTAATTTTCCCTGTCCTCCCTGAGAAACCTCATCGTCCTCTTCCTCAGTTTCAGAAAATGAATATTTACATTATTCGGACTGTTATTCTTGTCTCCATTGCCCTATTCAGAACGTTTCGGCCGTTGTATGCTCTGGCCTTCTTCAGGTGATTGGAATTTACGAACTGAACCCTTTATTACTTCCACCAAAAATGGCCCAGTGGATAAAGACGTTGGTTAGATCCAGTGACTAGACTCAAAGCGTCGTGGGCTCAATACCAGGCTACAGCAGTGGTGAATCAAAAAACTTGGATAGCTGAGTTAAGGGGAAAGAAGAGGCATGGCACGTGGAACTAGAATAATCTACCCCGGTGGAGGAAATAAAGCGTGAATAAGATGAGAAGAACAGTCCGAATAATGTAACTAATGTAAATAATCATAATACCTCATCTCAGAGATATAGAGGCCGAAACGTTGTGAATATGTCAATGAAGATGAGGATAACAGTCCGAATAATGTAAATAATGTACGTAATCATAATACCTCATCTCAGAGATAGAGAGGCGAAAACGTTGTGAATATGGAAATGAAGATGAGAATAACAGTCCGAATAATGTAAATAATGTACGTAATCATAATACCTCATCTCAGAGATATAGAGGCCGAAACGTTGTGAATATGACAATGAAGATGAGGATAACAGTCCGAATAATGTAAATAATGCAAGTAATCATAATACCTCATCCCAGAGATATAGAGGCCGAAACGTTGTGAATATGGCAATGAAGATGAGGATAACAGTCCGAATAATGTAAATAATGAAGTAATCATAATACCTCATCTCAGAGATATAGAAGATGAAAGGAAAATAACTTTTATATCATAATAACGCTTTTCACATAATAATCGTAATGAACAACGACGAAGTTAAAGTGGTGCTTACTCAAGCTTTATTGGGGCTACAACATGGCGCTGTGTAGACGCCTTATATGGTTACACTTGTAGAAAAGTTACAATAGGGAGAGTGGGTGTCCCGAACAGATTTTATCACCCCAATAATATTGCTTAATATTTTTTATTTTATTCTAGGAATATTTAGAAACAAGTAAAATGTGACGCAAAAAATACCTACGTAGATATTTGTCCTATGGAAAATACAAGCGTAAATAAATTGAATATTAAAAAAGGGTGCCATTTATTGTGTGTCCCATCGATTAGTTTCTGCTTTAGTGTGTATTCTACCACCACATTTCTATCCTGCATTATTAAGGCATTGTTTCGAATTTTTTCTCGATTTGTTAAAAGACATTCAGAATTTTTCTATCTAAAGGATTCAAATATCTTGTTTTATGATTTTTTACTCAAATTTCTTATTTTATATATATTTTTTAATTTTTAAAATACAACAATAAATGGTATCCCTCCTTTCGTTTTTGCTTTTCCCCTTACGTTAGATAACGTAGAATACAAATGGGGTGTAGGGCAGGGGTCGGCAACCTTTTGCTAAGTATGTGCAGACTTAGGGTTTTAAAATCATTCAGTGTGTTAATAGCGTACGTAATTTTTATATAAGTCAAGGTCAATATACCTGTTCTATAATAGTGTAATATATATATATATATCCTGACCTCAAACCAAATTTATAGAAATAAACTGCTTTTGAAAGTTTTTTTTTAAATTTTTTATTATGAATGGGAGTCCAACGAGTGAGCAGTTTTGGAACAGCTAAATTTCTTATTTTATAAGTTTTTGAATTTTAAATTTTATAATACATCAATAAATGGCATCCCTCCTTTCGTTTTTGCTTTTCCCCTTACGTTAGATAATGAAGGACACAAATATGGTGGTAGGATACACTGATCGCTAGGACACACGCTAAAGCGGAATAAAATAAAAATATGTATAATTCAGATTACTTTTTAAATTTTTATTTCATATTTATATTTTAATCTATTTTTCATTTATATTTTATTTTCACTGCCCGACGAAAAACAATCAATTTCTTGGTTTCAAATGATTCCATCATTAAATAGTCCTCTAAAACAAAACCAAATGACTTGTTTTCAATCATTCATTCTCGTAAATAAGCAACAATGAAAATTACATGGTAATTTTCACCATTAAGGCAATAAAAGTTATCTCCCTTTAATTTTCTCTGTTTGGATTTTTCGGCTTTATGAACATCCGTTTTAATGATTTCGATGATGCTAGTTTTCAGGCGAGCGTCATTTACAGTTATGATTGTCTCCCTTTGATCTGAATCCGTTCTCTCATGCCAAGAGAAGATAACTCGTATCATCTAATTCTGATTCGATCAATGGTTCCCAATTCACTTTGGAATTTCTAAAATTCTGATGCCCTCCCTCGTAATATTTAATTCTTATATATTCAAAATTTACTGTAATTCACATGAAGGAAGCTTAAAAGGCCATTAACTTGGTCTTTAAACAAGCCCCCAAAGACTATGGCGTCCATGAAAAAGAAAATTAAAAAAAAATTGAAAAGACAGTTAAATATACAATGCTGTTCGATAAAAGTGACTCACGTGATTTTTTTTACTAAATGTTCTCTTCTCCGATGAAACGAAAGTTGAGCCAAAATCGAAGGATAAGCGATCTAAAATCCGAAGAAGTTCTTTGAATTTAGCAGTAAGTACTGTCAAGAATTCGTTCAGTATTTATGTTCTGGGGATGCTTTTCTTTTCACGGAACTGGTTTCTTAAAACCTATTGAAAAGACCCTCAGCAGCGAGCAGTACAAGAGAATTTTAGAGTCTTGCCTGCTCCCTTCTGCTGAATCGACCCCACCAAGCTCATTTTATGCAGGATAATTCTCCCTGTCACAAATCAAAATTGATGAAGGAATACTTTGATGAGAAGCAGGTGAGTGTTATGACATGGCCGCCCCAATCTCCTGACCTCAACCCCATAGAAAACTTATGGAGCATTATAAAGTACAGGCTCTCGAGAAAGCAGTTGAGAAACAAAGAGGATTTGATTGTGAATTTCATATCCGAATGGAATTCAATGTTTGGAAATGAGATTTGCCAGAACCTAATCAAGTCAATGTCAAAAAGGGTTGAAAAGGTTATTCAAAATAAAAGAGGACCCATAGATTATTAAATATTTCGAACTTTATTACCTATTATAAATAAATTATACTTCTATTATTCTTTATTTAAAGCTGTTCGGTTATGTTTCTATTGATTACTAGTTGCAGGAAATAAGTGAGTCACTTTTTTTTTGCATAGAGTTTTTCCCTAAATCTCATTTATATCCAAAATTATAATTATCAATAGAATACTTTAGGGTAAGTAAACGTTTTTACTAGGTGGTCGAGAAGGGGTCTTTATATTAGTAAGATTAAAAATTACTTTGATCCCAAAAACAATAGGCGAAAAAAATTTTAAGTAAAAAAAATTAGGTGAGTCACTTTTATCGAACAGCACTGTATATATAATTTCAGAAGATATAATAGAGAATTGAAAGGCAGAAATATAAAATATTTGAATGAAAGCTTATTCTGTAATAGACTTTGATCATTTTAATCATGAAATAATAATTCAAAATAATATTTGAGCTCACGTTTGTATAGTAAGCCGAAGGGTGCACATCCTACACATGCCCCACTAAAATATTACGTTGGGAATCGTTGGTCTAGATATTGTCTCAATCAATCGTTTCACATGTTACATTTTTGGTACTATCTGACTCAGGGATTAA